AACCTATGCAGCCAACCATGGGAAGCATTGAAGGGTTTGGGCTTTGCAATTCCCATTTTACGTGTCACTGCTGCGTATAGCTCACGTGCGTACTCCTGCACTGAGCGCGTGTCCACCGCCATGTTGCGTCGCGCCTGACGCACCAAATAACTCACCAGCAAAGTTTCCACTTTTGCCAGCACCCTGTTCTGGCAATACCTGATAGCTGAAGCACCTGCAGACTTTGTGAGCTTCATGTGCTCCTTTATCTTGGCTGCATCCTTCTTGATCGTACGAATCGTAGATTCGTTGACGCCATGCTGGCGCGCGAGATCAACTTGGCGTCTTCCTTTCTCCAAATCTTGAACAATTTGGTACTTCAGCTCGTAGCTTAATGAACGTCGTGTCTTCTTTGGTTTAGTGCCGCTGGGTCCAGGTAAGGAAAGGTTTCTCTCTGGGGGTGGTGGTCCGGCGGAAGCCATTTTACGGAACAATGGATGCGCGTTAACCCGGCGTGGCCTTGAGGGATGAAACTGCCGCGGCTAGGTCAAGCGTCGTCTCTCCTCCCTCCCTCCCTCCCCGGGGTAGTCACGTCATAATACTTTAAGCCAATTACAGCTAGCAGCAGAGGGGGGTAGGGCTGCATGGCCAATCACAGTCCGAGACGTCATATGACGTCAGTGATAACGCAACAAAGACACACACTGCGCAACCTTACCGCGCCGCTTACCCAAGCGGAGGGAGGAGGAGGGAGAGGCAGGCAGGCAGGCGGGCGGGTGGGTGGCGCGTGGCGCGTGGTCAAAATCTAAAAATAGCATCCGAGCCGGACACTCACCGCGTAGCTGTGGAAAAACCCGCGTTAAGTGAAAGTTCAGCTTTGGCAAGGCACCGCGTATATGCGAAAACGCGTTAAGTGAAAGCGCGTTAAGCGGGGTAAAACTGTATATATATATATATATATATATATATATATATATATATATATATATATATATATATATATATATATATATATATATATATATATATATATATATATATATATATATATATATATATATATATATATATATATATATACACACACCTAAACCCCGACTTACGACGGGGTTAGGGACCCAAATCCAGGTCGTAAGTCCGATGTGGTCGTAAGTCCGATATAGATAAAAAATTCAAAAAAATTCAAAATAAAATTTTTCAAAAAAAAAAAAATTCAAAAATTTTTTTTTTTCAAATTTTTTTTAAAAATCTACAATGAAATACAGTACACTAAACGTAAAAAATAATGAGGAATGGATACAGTACAGTAAAAGTAATAAATAATGAGGAATGGATACAGTGTGACTGAGCACTTACCTTAAATGTAGTCAGCTGAATGCACACGGGGCCCCCATAATTTTCTATTTACAGGATACATGGAGACTATATTAATTGGAAGAAGCAGAAGAGGAGACAGGGCTGGGTGGGTCATCAATGTCGCTTCCTTCAGACTGGTTTATGTACTGTGGTAACTTGCTGGTTGAAGGTATTGGATCATCTTGAGGGAGTGAAGAGGCAGCACTGGTGGGGCGTGAGGAGCCAGTACTGGGGGACTTCTTGAAATAGGTGTCCAATTTAGACTGCACAGTTTTCTTTTTCTTTTCATTATAAATTTCTCTGTAGCAAGCAAGTGAATCTTGGATCATTCTGTCAACTTTGGCATAACGCTCATAATTTTGATCCATGTCATCAAACATTTGCATTGCTTTATTAATTGTAGCAAATGCCTCTGCCATATGTTTCACTGAAAACTTTTTGGGGGGTGCAGGCTCTTCTTCTACATTTTGTCTCTCTTCTTCCTCTGCAACTTTCTGTGCATCTAGTTCAATAAGATCCTCGTTACTGAGCTCTTCTGCTTCACTTTCAACCAACTGTCCAACATCTTCAGTATCAATTTCTAACTCCAGCTGTTTACCTAAGTCCACTATCTTGTTACTAATATCCAAAATAACTTCACTTTCATTAAATCCTTTGAAACTGTTCACATATCTTTTCAGGATTTTCTTCCATATTCCATTCATGCAATGTTTTGTAACCTGATCCCATGCTGCACTAATGTTCTTTATACATGACAAAATGTTGTACTCCTTCCAAACCTGTCTGAGCGTTTTCTCACCTTCAGTAGCAGCAACAGCCTGAGCGAAGGTCGTGCGTAAATAATATGCTTTAAAGGCAGAAATAGCACCTTGATCCATGGGTTGGATGATAGAGGTAGTGTTAGGTGGCATGTACACTACCTTAACATCAGGGTGCATGTCGTCCAGGTGTGGTGGGTGTCCTGGAGCATTATCCAAAATCAGTAAAATCTTGAATGGAATCCTTTATTGCAGACAATACTCCTTGGCTCGTGGAATGAAACAAGTCATGAACCAATCCTCAAATAGTACTAGGGTCATCCAGGCTTTCTTGTTACTGCGATAAAACACTGGCAGTGTGTACTTGCTGACATGTTTAAAAGCCCTGGGGTTCTCTGAATGATAGATCATGAAGGGCTTTAGCTTGAAACCAGCAACATTCCCCCCCAACAGAAGTGTAATTCTGTCCTTGAATGCCTTGAATCCGGGCATTTTTTTTGCCTCTTTGTGGATGTATGTCCGGTCAGGCATGCGTTTCCACAATAATCCAGTCTCATCCACATTGAATATTTGCTCTGGCAAATAATTCCCTTCCACAATCACATCATCTAACTCCTCCTTAAAAGCTTCGGCAGCACCAACATCGGCACTAGCTGCCTCTCCACTCACCTTAACACTGTGTAGACTGTAGCGTTTTTTAAATCTATCAAACCACCCTTGACTTCCTGTAAAGGTTTGATCACATTCATCTCCTGCCTGCTCCTTCAGGCTTTGGAACAGGCTTCTTGCTTTAGCCTGTATGGTTAGAACACTTAAGGGTACACGCTTCTGCATCTGGTCTTCTATCCATATCACCAATAATTTTTCCATATCGTGGATAGGACCTTGTCTTTTCTTTGTTATTATAGTTCCCTTTATAGGTGTTGTTCCTTTCACTACTTCACGAATACGTTCCTTGTCCTTCAGAATAGTGGATATAGTCGAGTGTGAGAAACCTAGGTCGCGTGAGATCGTTGCTACTGTTTTTCCATTCTCATACTGTGTTATTATCTTCAGTTTCATCTCAAAAGTAATTGCCTGTCTCCTTTTCCTTGGAGTACCACCAGCACTCTCACTTTTACGCTTTCCAGTCATTATAAAGTCAATTAAATACAATAATAACGAAAGTTCACAGCGCGATCAGTATAGGATACGATAGCCAAACACAAACAAAGCGCTCCACTGAGTGAGTGCAGCCACGAGGCGACCCAAGCCACCCCTCCCTCTCGCCCGGGACGGAAACGTTTCGGTATAGAAAATGCGCGCGTCATTTGAAAAAATTTTTGGTCACGGCGGTCGCAGTCGTATGTCCCGTATGGACGTACGGTCAAAGCAGGTCGTAAGTACCAATGGACGTAAGTCCATATAGTTGTAAGTCGGGGTCTAGGTGTATATATATATACGTGTATATATATATACGTGTATATATATATATATATATATATATATATATATATATATATATATATATATATATATATATATATATATATATATATATATATATATATATATATATATATATATATATATGCTGATAACCACAAGGAAAGAAGAAAACACGAAGAGAAGAAGTGAACATGTGTAAAGGTGTTGTGTATGCATCTAAGTCCAAGCCTTGCATTCCAAACTGTCCAGAAAGATTCACCAAAGCAATCCAAGCCCTTAAGAAAAATAAGGATCTACATGTCACTAAAGCAGATAAAGCCAACACAGTAGTGATTTTAAACAAAGATGACTACACCTAGACCCCGACTTACGACTACGTGGACTTACGACCGTCGGGACTTACGACCGCCTCAGATATAGATAAAAAAAAAAATAAATAAAAAATTTTAAATGACACACGCATTTTCTATACCGAAACGTTTCCAGTTAATGTAGTCTCCATGTATAATTAGAAAATTATGGGGGCCCCATGTGCATTCAGCTGACTACATTAAAGGTTAAGTGCTCAGTCACACTGTATCCATTCCTTATTATTTATTACTTTCACTGTACTGTATCCATTCATCATTATTCATTACTTTTACTGTACTGTATTTCATTGTAGATTTTTTATTAAAAAATAAATAAATAAATAAAAAAAAAAAAAATTTTTTTTTTTTTTTTTATCTATGTCGGACTTACGACCTGGATTTGGGTCCCTAACCCCGTCGTAAGTCGGGGTCTAGGTGTGCAGCATTATAAGTTTGGATGTGAAACTTGTTGGGATTTATGTATTAAAGTTGATTTGCATACAGTACAGTACAGCATGCCCTGTCAATTCGTAGATTTTTAATTCGTGGAACTCGATTATTCACGGATGACACACTGGATGTACCGAAGAATGTCTAAGGGTAGTTTTAAAGTTGCTGGCATTTTTGCGGTCGAGACAGGGAGCCATTTGTTCTAGAGACAGTAATTCCTTTTACCTCTATTGTGTATGTGTATATGTGTGTGTGTGTACACACACACACACACACACACATATATACACTGCAGGTAAAAGGAATAATTGTCCTAAGGGCAAACACATAAAGGGAGTATATATTTCTTTGCACACGAGTAAAAATTTAAGAGCAAAGTTATTCGTGGATTTGGCTATTCACGGCCATTTTTAGAACCTAACCCCCGTGAATTTTAAGGGCATGCTGTACTCTACAAAATACTGTACGGAATTAAGGGTCAGTGGTTTCTAGTATGTTGCACTTCCTTTGTGGGTCTTGTGATGTTACTTTTCTACTTTCTTTTTTCCTATGATAAAAGATGTAGCTACTGTAATTGTTGACACTTGTGTACTTTAGCTGTCAATCACCGTAAGTTTTATATTTTAACTTGACCTAAAATAGTCCTGCTGATGATTGGTGATAACCATTTTCATTTCAGCTCCTGGCGAGAGTCTGTGTTATTGCTTGTGGGTGTTACTGGCGGCACCTCCAGTTCCTGGCCACTACTGGTATACGGTCACAGGGATTCAACTTGAACCGCTGTTTGGTCTTAGAATTCTTGTAAAAGAAATTAGGTAAGATATATCTTCAATTTGTTAGGTTTACTGTTCAAATTAAAGAGAAAACTCTATATTTACCCAGTAGGTCGAGGGTTCGATTCCTTGCTGGTGAGGTCGTTGATTATATGTTCAAAGTCCGCGTGTTATATGGACTAAAAATGAAGTATATATATGTACCTCGCGTTTCATACCAGCTGGATTCGGTAAAATGCTACTGACACCACATAAGAGGCACGGGCAGTTTCCCAATGAGGTTCACGGCGCCATCAGCTTGATGAACAGGCTTTGTGTGAAATATAACAGTCTAGAACTGCTTTTAGTGTCCTTGTGGCCTAGCCGGTAAGCGTTCCCTAGTCCCACCCAGTAGGTCGAGGGTTCGATTCCTTGCTGGTGAGGTCGTTGATTATATGTTCAAAGTCCGCGTGTTATATGGACTAAAATGTACACACACACACACACACACACACACACACACACACACACACACACACACACACACACACACACACACACACACACACACACACACACACACACACACACACACACACACACACACACACACACACACACACACACACACACACACACACACACACACACACACACACACACACACACACACACACACACACACACACACACACACACACACACACACACACACACACACACACACACACACACACACACACACACACACACACACACACACACACACACACACACACACACACACACACACACACACACACACACACACACACACACACACACACACACACACACACACACACACACACACACACACACACACACACACACACACACACACACACACACACACACACACACACACACACACACACACACACACACACACACACACACACACACACACACACACACACACACACACACACACACACACACACACACACACACACACACACACACACACACACACACACACACACACACACACACACACACACACACACACACACACACACACACACACACACACACACACACACACACACACACACACACACACACACACACACACACACACACACACACACACACACACACACACACACACACACACACACACACACACACACACACACACACACACACACACACACACACACACACACACACACACACACACACACACACACACACACACACACACACACACACACACACACACACACACACACACACACACACACACACACACACACACACACACACACACACACACACACACACACACACACACACACACACACACACACACACACACACACACACACACACACACACACACACACACACACACACACACACACACACACACACACACACACACACACACACACACACACACACACACACACACACACACACACACACACACACACACACACACACACACACACACACACACACACACACACACACACACACACACACACACACACACACACACACACACACACACACACACACACACACACACACACACACACACACACACACACACACACACACACACACACACACACACACACACACACACACACACACACACACACACACACACACACACACACACACACACACACACACACACACACACACACACACACACACACACACACACACACACACACACACACACACACACACACACACACACACACACACACACACACACACACACACACACACACACACACACACACACATTCTCTCTCTTGACCACCGGCGGTCAAGATCGCACCTGGCGCCCTCCTCGGAGCAGCCAGGTCAACTGTTAGTTGGCCCATACCAACTCCCTCCCTGAACCCCTCCTCCCCACCGAATATCAACGAAGTTCACAGAAGTTACTATTTCATTTAGGAAAGGAATGGAACCAGTGTTAAAAGAGGTGAACAGTGCTGTCAGTGAGAACCTCAATAGTAACAGGGTACCAAGTTGACCTTCACACAGTGAGGTCCCAGGTACCCAGTGATAACGCCCGACCCAACAACCAGCGATGTGTTAATCCGTCTACGGTGAAAAGGCCTGGGACCACACCTCACTAATAGAACACCGCCTGTGAGGGAACTACTACACCACGTGAGGCCCCTCATAAACATCTGTGAGGGAATACTACACCACGTGAGGCCCCTCATAACACCATCTGTGAGGGAATTACTACACCACGTGAGGCCCCTCATAACACCATCTGTGAGGGAATTACTACACCACGTGAGGCCCCTCATAACACCATCTGTGAGGGAATTACTACACCACGTGCCCCTCATAACACCATCTGTGAGGGAATTACTACACCACGTGAGGCCCCTCATAACACCATCTGTGAGGGAATTACTACACCACGTGAGGCCCCTCATAACACCATCTGTGAGGGAATTACTACACCACGTGAGGCCCCTCATAACACCATCTGTGAGGGAACTACTAAACCACGTGAGGTCCCTCCTAACACCATCTGGGAGGGAGTTACTACACTACGTGTTTGCTGTTCAACACCTACATTAATCTGTATGTTCACTGTATGTTCCTTCACCTTTCTCTAATGAAGGCTTTTGTTAAACCACCAATGTATGTAATAAGTCATTTATGTCCAATGTATATTTTCAGCCTTCGGGCTGCAGAACTTTTTCAATAAACCGTTAATTATTATTATTATTATTACACGCGCGCACGCACGTTTCGGTTCATCACGAGCCCTTCTCAATTGGTAGTGAAAGAGACAGAATATTACACAATATATACACGTGGAGGCTGACTGACCCAAGCCGTCTGTCAACTGGGGATAATCTTCTGACCCAACCTTGGCCTGAACCAACCCTTCTTACCTGGGGATTAAATTACCCCATTTTCCTAACTTTCACTGCAGCAAACTCTGTTATTAAATCTTGATACTACAAGGTTTCTGCTAGTTCCTTTTCAATGGAGAGCATAGCCAATGCATTCAATCTCTCTTGAGACATAGTTGTTCTTAGATAGTTTTTTATTAATTTCACCTTGGAAAAACTCCGCTCCCCTGATGCCACTGTGACTGGATCTGTCAATAAAATCTGATATGCTATTTCTGCCTTAGGGAAGGAACCATTTAGAGACTTGAGAATCTGAAGGACTTGAGATGCACTGTTTGTTTCTTGAGGAATAAGTTCTTGGAGTACTCGAAGCTCTGAGAACAGGTCTGCACAATCAATATCGTGAGAATTTCCAACACTCGATGAATTATCCAAAGCTATACATCGCTCTTTCATGATGTAGTCTTCTTTCATATCTCGAAGTTTCTCCAAGTCATGCAGGAAACCGAAGTTAGTGTCATACTCTTGCACCTGCTTGAATCTTCTTGTCAGTGACATTATTGCCTGATCAATGATAACAAGAAAGTAATTTCTTTCAAATGCTTTCTCAGCCGAGTTTTCTGAATTATTCTCACCTATTTCTTGTTGTCCTTTTCTTTTCACTCGGCGATTTTTTAATATAAGCCAACTTCTTTCAGATGTTTCTCAATTTGGTAATTTTCTCATGTAAAAGTTTTCTGAGAAGTGCCGATTTTCACTAGTTTTAGGGAAAAATATAATTTTCACTAGTAACTTTCACAGGTCCATTTCCTACCAAGTAGTTCATTGTTCAACTGTCCAGAAGCTGTGGCCAGTTGGCTGGATCACATAAATCATCTTCAGTTTCACGGTTACGGTCTGAGCTGTCCATTTTTAAAGCTTTCATCTGTTTTTCACCACTGTCCTCTTCCTTTCCTTTTATACAATTCACACTAGCACAATCATTTGCAGTAGTTTCTGGAATTTTTTGTAACACAAATTTGTCAGGGGAACCTTTCAATACATTATCAATTTCTTCTCTTTTCCTTTTCTTTTGCCTATTCACTGCCCCTGAGATGTACTTTCTGTATCTGTCTCTGCTTGCCATGTTTCTTACACAAAAAAAGTATATCCACAAAACTCAAAAGCAGGAGTCACAGCTCACAGGACAAGACACAACCTGATCTCACTGGTTACTGACCCTGGTGGACTGGCTGTGTGGAGTGGAGTGCAATGGATTATGGAGTCAGATTATGCGATCAGAGGAACCCAACCCCCATGGGACTGTCGCTATGGATGGTAAGGTCACGGTTGTGATGGTGGCGTAAGCCGTCAGGTCAGATTAACCAGTCAACAGGTAATGTGTCCGAGGTCACTGGGTCTAGTACTGGGCTCCACGGGGCCCCGGTGGTCGCCCCTGTTCCCCCCCCCCCTAAGGATGGGCCTGTGTGTGCGTGTGTGTGCGCGTGCGTGCGCATATACAGTACAGGAAAAATAAATTACGGTACTGTCCCGGCCGCGAAAATGCCAGCAACTTTAAAACTACCCTTAGACATTTTTGGGTACATCCAAGGTCCATGAATTGTCAAGGCATACTGTACTGTAAAAAAGAAAATATTAATGATCCATATCTGGGTGATTAGCCGAGATGCAGTTTAAATCTCTTATAACAATGCAAGTTCAAGAAGGCCTTATTTTCTACACATACAGTAAAAACCAGTAAGCATTGAAAATTTTTGTATTTAATGCTTTTTACAGGAACAAGGGTGGATGCTTTGCTTTCTACACTGATGTGTTGTGACTTCCAGGTTTTATCAGGCTGAGGTGTCACCTAATTTATTTCTTAGGTTGTTTTCTTGTTTTTTTTTTTGTGTAAGTGTTAACCAGGAATCTAAACATTTCAGATTACATTGTAATTTTTTTTTATTTATCCCAGGAAATGGCCATAAAATGATGTTGATGATAATATTAATATTATTTATATACAGTACAATATACTGGATCCCTCTCATATCTTTAAATTTAGCTTTAATTTACAGTAATTATTGTAATTTTCCGTTACCTTGCTATTGGTGTGATCCCAAACCACTTTATTTCATATAAGCTTAAGTATTAAAGTCTACAGGAACGTAACCCCGACGACTGCTTGAGTTTCACCTGTACAGTACTGTATATGTACAGGCAGTCCCCGACTTTGGACAAGGATTCATTCCTGGACCCTGATTGTAAGTCGATGTGTTGATAAGTCAGAACAGTGTTAACTCCAGACAAAACAGTAATAATATCCCCGACATAATGAATACTGTAAATAAAGTGATGTTAAAAAATATAGAATTATAAAAGATAATGTGAAAAATGGGATTTTAATTAAAAAAATTTTGATGAATGTATTGGAATCCCGTTTATAAGTGCGGATGATAGTAAGTCGGATGGTCATAACTCAAGGACTGCGTGTATTGTATCGTGTTTGATTGTACATTGACTTATTAAACTCTATAGAGGTGTTTCATTAAGCAATGAATAAATTTATTGCTTTTGCTGTATTTTAGGAGAATTCATCCCCACGATGGCGAGGAAGCTGCAGTTCGACAAAAACGACAAAAACAATTTTTAATGAGTGACACTGGAAATGAACTTCAAAGTTTAGGAGAGCAGCTGCAGGAATGGGTGGAACAAGCTCGAAGATTAAAATTTTCTACAGTTTGGTGTGTCATTACCTCAGCAATAAACATCAAGAATATAAAGGAAACCATCAGGTAAGAATAATGAAACCCATCTAAGGTATCAGTAGATAATTGTTTTTAAAGCATGTAAGAGTGAGAAAAAGATTTTGTTATAAAATTTGTTGAAGTAGATAATCTTTGCTGAAGCTTTCCTAAGGTGTTAGCTCATAGCACTTGTGGCAGACACACACTCTAAATACACGTGGCTGTGACAAATAGGTACAGTAAGTCCTCGCTTAATGTCGGGGTTACATTCCTGAAAACGCGACATTATACGAAACAACGTTAAGCGGATCAATTTTCCCCATGAAGTACATTGCATATACAGAAAATCATTGCCATTTCTATAGAAAATAGTGCATGCATATACAACTACAGTGGTCCCTTGGTTAACGAACACAATTCGTTCCAGTTAACCGAAAATTTCGTTAACCGAATCCATTGTTTCAATGGGATATTGGGTAATTGGTTCCAGCTCACCGAAAAGTACATACAAAGTAAAAAAAAAAACTGCCGTAAAGTGCACTTACTTTGTGAGGTGTGTATGTAGAAGGCTCCTGGTTGATGATGATGATGGGAATTAGACTTGGGTGTGGAGGAGAAGGGAGAAAAGAAGGAAGTGGTATGGAGGAAAAATCACCTTCAGTGGACCCATGCTTGATGCCTCATTTCACCAATAAAATTTTAAGTTCACTTGGTGTAATTCGAGATTACTTTCTTTAAATCAACTCTGCACTGCACTAGATATTATCAATGTTAACTAAAGTTCAGGATGACCAATAATTTCAATGAAAAATGCAGTTTTATATAAGACACCAACAAAATAGGTGCTCTCTCCACAGAAAACAAAGGCAGACTGGCGCCTGGTGACCGACCCACGCATCTGATGGGTGCACAACTAACTAGTTCCCTGTACAGTGAGTTCTGCTATAACGCGTGTTTTGATAACGCGAATTTGCTCTAACGCTATTTATGAATTCGGAACAATATTTGTATAACGCGAACGCTTGTTTGCTATAACGCGATTTTTGCTTACTATTTCTCCAATTTTGTGGTATTAACTGTGAATATGGTAAAGAAGAATATCCCCAAAAAGCGTTCTGATGATAGAATTCCCGGTGATTATCGTAAAAGAAAGGATATAACACTTGAAGAGAAGCTCGATGTTATCAACCTCAAAATCACCCTTCTCCCCAATCAAGTTACATTCATATTTTTTCAAGGTAAAGTGTTAAATTTACTGTATGATTTCATTATTAGATATGAATGTAACATTTATTTAGACTGTGCTATCCTTTGTGTTAGGCTAACTACTAAATTTTTTCGATTTCGAGTAATCTGCACCTAACCCTATTTTCTCCATAAGCCCTGTTATTTCTATTACGCGATTTTCTATAACACGATATTTTACAAGAACACAATTATCGCGTTATAGCAGAACTACCTGTACTGCATATATTACACCGGTCAACACAATTTTTCTGGCACAAGGTTTTTAAACGGATTTTAAGTAAATTTGGGGTGCAGAATCCAAATATGACTTTGGTTTTTGTCTATCACATCAGGTTTGTGAGATATACCATATTGCACTTTTGCTGGGAAACGTAAACTTTTGGATCAAAATTGACGGTTTAAACATGTATACATAAATTTTTTCAGCATTATAATTTGTATTTTTCTATAACCAAAAATTGTTAATATCAAATTGGAAAGTTAATGCACATATAATATTTAAATGTAACATTGAAGGGTGAAAAAAAACAATTAATGTACGGTAGAAATAGTGCAAGTATTAAGATCAAGTTACAGTTACATAAACTTCCTCTTTTTGGCCGATCTCTTATGTACAGCTTCTGGAATGTCTCTCATCAAACTCCAGCAGTAGTCCGCCATCATGTTCGAGTCCCATCGACCTTGGTAACGTTCTTCCATTACTTTAATGTCTTGATGAAAGCGCTCCCCTTGCTCCTCGCTCACTTCTCCCAGATTTTCTGGAAACTCGTCCAAGTGACTGTGTAAGTAGTGAACCTTGATACTCATTCTGCATCCAAGTGCTTGTAAACTCAAGAGCAGCTCTTCCACAATTTCTTGATAGTTGTCCGCTTTCTTGTTCCCTAAGAAGTTCCGCACCACATTAGAGAAAGCATTCCAAGTTCTTGCCTGTGCCTCAGTCATTGTTGCAAGGAAGTGTGGATCTCTGAGTAGTGTTCTTATTTGAGGTCCATCAAAAATCCCTGCCTTTTTCTTCTCGTCGCTAAGACTTGGAAAGGTTGAGCATATATATCTGAAACACTCTCCACTATGATCAAGAGCCTTGACGAATTGCTTCATGATACCAAGTTTTATGTGCAGAGGAGGAAGGACAATGTTTTTCCTGTCAACCAGAGGATCGTTAATGATATTCTTGTCACCAGGCGTCAAACTATGTCTTGGTGGCCAATTCTTTTTCACCCAATGGTCTGCTGTAGCACTGCTGTCCCAGTAGCACAGAAAACAGGGGTATTTTGTGTACCCTCCTTGCTGGCCCAATAGAAAGTTTACCATTTTCAAGTCCACACAAATTAACCATTCATGAGCATGGTATTGCAACCTCTCTAGAACAGTCTTAATGTTTTCATATTCTTCTTTAATTTGTACAGAATGTCCGATTGGAATTGAACCATACTTTTTTCCGTTATGAAGAAGAACACATTTCAAGCTCCTTTTAGAACTGTCAATAAAAAGTCTCCAATCCTTACTATCATATGTTGGTAGTCCCTTGGAGAGAAGAAGTCCTTCTACATCATTACAAAAAACAAGCTGGTCATATGAATGAAAGTACTTCCGCAGTTGCTCTTCTCTGTTGCGATAAAAGGAGACACTCGTGCCAGGTTTTAAGAGTCGTTTCTCTTGAAGCCTGGAAGCTAACAATTCAGCAGACTGTTTTGGCAAATTTAGATCTCTGACCAGATCATTCAATTCTGACTGAGTAAACAACGTTGGCTTTTCACAATCTTCACCAGATGGCTTGAAAAGATCATTCTCTTCATCTTCATCAGTAGAAACAGGTGAATTCCAGTCTATATCCTCAATCTCTGGTAGCTCAGTAAATTCTGGCACGTTACATGATGGAGCAAATCTGAGATCAGATTTGGATTCAGCACCTTAAAGTTAGTAAAAAACAGTTAAAAGGTTTCATGCCAGAAAAAAAAAATATTTTTTTGTAGACCAGTGTTATCAATATGTTAAGTAAATGTTAAAATGACTAATAATTTTAATATAAAACATTCAAAAATATTAAGAAGCTGAAATTTATTGATATTTAATCCATTGGAAACGAATTTAAACTTAGAACAGATTACTGAATTGGCAGACAGGGCCATCAGCTGACCAGCTGATGCTCACAACAAAACGTGATTTTCATAAGGATTTCGTTAATTGAATTTTTGTTCGTTAACCGAATTGAAGCTTCTTATGGAAGGTAATTCGTTAAACGAAATTTTGTTAACCAAGGCGTTCGTTAACCGAGGGACCACTGTACTAAGTTTGTATGGGTACTCACCGATGGGCGGAGGTGGTAGAGTGAGTGTGTGGTGGGTAGTGAAGCTGAGGAGGCGGATGGCGGGAGCGGAGGACGACGGGAGAGGAGGAGGGTGGTGAGTCAATGAGACTGCGGCTGCCGCCTCCTCTTCCTGTTCTGACTGGGGTTCCTCTGCCACTGTTTGCTCCTCCTTGGCTGCTGTGTGCTCCTCTTCGGCTGCCGGCTGTTGTGAAGATGCTGCTGCTGCTTCTGCCGTCCCACGACGAAAAAATTAATCCAGTGTCGTCTGCTTGGTGCTACTCTTCTTCTTTTCTCCTTATAGATCTCAGTGTAACAACAAGACTGTCATTAATGCTGCGTTGAACCTTTGAGCTACGTTATCTGTTTGGGTTGTCATCTAGAAGCATTTGCAATCCTTGCTGGATCATGTTCAACAATTCTGCCAACCTCTTTGAAGTTAGCGTTTGTTGAGGTTCTTCGTCATCGTAATCGTCTTCAACGGGACTGTGTTCTGTTAGTTGTTGCAGATCTTCATTGGTGAGCTCTTATGTATGGGATGCCAGGACGTCCTCAATATTCTCTGATTCCAGCTCATCAAAGCCTGCCTGTCTAGCCAAGCTGAGGATATCCCTATTCACAGCTGGGACTAAGTCCGTGAATCCCTTAAAACTGTTGATGCACTCGGGCCACAGTTTACGCCACACACCATTCAGGCAACTTTCTGAAACCTCTTCCCATGCCTTGCCAATATTCTCAGATCGTTGGTTTATTTTCTCCGTCTGTAGCCTTGAGCAGCTGGGCCATGGTATGGCGTAAGTATTACGCCTTGAATGCGGTGATGACGCCTTGGTCCATAGGCTGCATCAGTGCTGTCGTATTGGGAGGCAGGAATACAACTTTTACACTGTCATGCAAGTTGTCGAGATTGGGAGGATGATTGGAGCTTTGTCAACGATCAGAAGAATTTTGAAGTTAAGGTTTTCCTTTACACAGTATTCCTTCATTGGAGGGACGGCATACACATTCAACCACTGGTTAAATATGGCGCCGATTATCCATGCCTTCTTATTTGCCTTGTATATGACAGGAAGGTGATCCTTAGAGTAACCTATTAGGGCCCTTGGGTTGGCAGCGCGAGAAATCAGCTTGAAGTCGCCGGCAGCAGAGTCAAGCAGTCGTTTGCCGCTTTAAAACCTGGCGCTCTTTTCTCCTCCTTGGAGATATAGGTCCTCTCAGGCATCCTTTTCCAAAAGAGGCCAGTCTCAGCCAAATAGAAGACTTGCTTCGATAAGTAGCCTCCTTCCTAGATAATCTGCTTGAATTCAGGCGGGAATGTCTCGGCGGTAACCGTATCAGTCATCTTTATGTTGTGGAAGTTATAACGAAGCTTAAATCGTTGAAACCAGCCTCGGCTGGCCGTAAAGGTCTCTTCCTTCGATCCTTCACCCTCGGTTTCCTTTATGCCGTCAAACAAGGATCTGGCCTTATTCTGGATAACCATAAGGCTCACAGG